AGGGAGACCTAAGAAGTATTGGGGAGAGGTGATCAGGCAGGATATGGCGCGACTTAGGGTTACTGAGGACATGGCCCTAAACAGGGAATTGTGGAGATCGAGCATTAAGGTTGTAGGTTAGGGGAAATTGTGATGTCTTTTTTACAGCGCACTAGAGTGAGACTAGCCAGTTAGGAGTTAGTCTTAGGATGCTATTGATCAACTACTGATGATGGGCTTTATCTGTTGTGTATTAATACCTTACATCTTTCTCGTATTTCCTATATCTCTTATATTGCTGTTACTTTGTTTTTTATGGTATTTATGTTATGTTATGGATTTTATGGTATTTTATGTTGTTTTATTAAGAGTCTATTGATAGTACTAATATAGTGTCTCTTGTTGCCTCTTTGAGCCGAGGGTCTCCTGGAAACAGCCTCTCTGCCCCTTGGGTAGAGGTAAGGTCTGCGTACATATTACCCTCCCCAGACCCCACTTGTGGGATTACATTGGGTTGTTGTTGTTGTAGTTTATATACTGAAAGTCACTCATTATCATTGACAGATCAGTTCTTTAAAATAATTTTGTTCCATTTTTACCGTATCTTCCATCTATTTTTATATTTGACTTTAGTGGCGGCTAAACTGTTCGCCTTTATTTGAATTTTCACATTTTTCTTCCTTATATTCAATTTTCAGTCGAAAAAAACATGGATTACTGTTATTGTTTTTTCCTAGTTTTTTATCTGCTGACAAATTATAATATATTATTCTAGTTAAAGTAAAGTGTCTTTTGGGCAATGTTGTCGGACAAAGTTGTCCAATCGAAACTATTTTTTTAATAATTTGAAAAAATTATTGGACGAGGAAGGGTCCAACGATAATGATGGTGACTTTTATGCAGCATGCAAATATTGGCATCACTATTATTTTGCATGGGAACATATTTTAGAGAGAAAAAATGGGACTACGAACAAATCAAGAGTTGAAACTTTAGTCTTTACCACCAATATAAAAATTGTGAGAATTTTTAGTCTACGAACAAATAGAATTCATTCAAATCTCGTAAAAAAACTTAAATACTTAAATGTTGTTCAAATACTCAAATTTTAGAATTGGGTCATGGAACGTAGGTACATTGACGGGTAAGTCTATAGAGTTGGCGAAGATCCTCCAGAAGAGGAGGGTCAATATAGCTTGTGTTCAGGAGACAAGGTGGGTAGGGTCGAGGGCGAAGGACGCAGACGGGTATAAACTTTGGTACTCAGGAGTCTAGAGAGGTAAGAATGGAGTGGGTATCTTGGTGGATAGGGAACTTAGAGATTCTGTAGTTGAGGTTAGACGAGTGAATGATAGATTGATGAATATTGAATTGGTGGTTCGTGAGTACACCCTAAATGACGTTAGCGCCTATGCGCCGCATGCGGGCCTAGATGAGGAGGTTAAACGGTGCTTCTGGGAGGGATTAGATGAGATTGTGCGCCAGGTTCCGCCTGCTGAGAAGCTATTCATAGAAGGGGATTTCAATGGTCATATTGGGTCGATCTCTGGTGGTTATGGCGAAGTGCTTGGAGGCTTTGGCTTTGGAAAGAGGAACAGGGGAGGCACCTCGCTTTTGGACTTCGCTAAGGCATTTGGGTTGGTAATTGCGAACTCTAGCTTTCCGAAGAGGGCGCATTTGGTTACTTTTCAGAATGCAATGGCAAAGACTCAGATTGATTATCTCTTCCTCATGAGGTATGACAGAGGGCTGTATAAGGATTGCAAGGTGATTCCGAGCAAGTTACTCGTGACGCAGCATATGCTCTTGGTGATAGACGTGGGTATTATGTTAAAGAGGAGGAAAAGGTCTGCTCGAGGAAGACCAAGAATTAGGTAGGGAGCCTTAACTGAGGATAAAGCCCAAGAGCTGGAGGGGCGGTTGTCGGCTATGGGAGCCTGGAGGAGCAGTGGCGGCGCGAGCTCTAGGTGGTCCGTGACAGTAGACTGTATAAGGGAGGCTGCGAGAGAGGTGTTAGGGGTCGCGACGGGCATCTCTGGTGGGCACAAAGGAGATTGGTGGAGGAATGAAATGGTCCAAGGTAAGGTGGAAGCTAAGAAGGCGGCGCACATGAAGTTAGTGGGGAGCATAGGTGAGGAGGGGAGGCGATCGTGCATGGAGAGGTATAAAGTAGCTAGGAAGGAAGCTAAGCTGGCGGTCATGGAGACTAAGACCGCGGGGTATGGTCGTATGTATGAGGAACTGGGGGAAAAAGGCGGGGAGAAGAAGTTATTCTGGTTGGCTAAGTTGAGGGAGAGAAAGGCTCGGGATTTGGACCAAGTGAGATGCATCAAGGACGAAGATGGTAGAGTATTGATGGAAGATGCCCAGATTAAGAGGAGATGGCTGACTTACTTTCAGAAACTCCTGAACGAAGAAGGGGATCAGGTTATTGCGCTAGGCGATTTTGAGCATTCCGAGAGTCACTGTGACTCTAGGTACTGCAGGCGTATCATGGTTTAGGAGGCCGTAGGAGCTATGCCTAAGATGAGTAGGGGCAGAGCGACCAGGCAAAACGAGATTCCTCTAGAATTTTGGAAGTGTGCGGGGAGAGCAGGTTTGAAGTGGTTGGCTAGGTTATTTAATGTTATTTTTAAGGAGAAGAAGATGCCAGATGAGTGGAGGTGGAGTACGATAGTTCCATTGTATAAAAACAAAGGTAATATCCAGAGTTGTAATAATATAGGGGTATCAAGTTACTGAGTCATACCATGAAAGTGTGGGAGAAGGTGGTTGAAGAGAGGGTGAGGATGATAGTGTCTGTTTCCGATAACCAGTTCGGGTTCATGCTGGGTCGTTCAACCACGGAAACGATACACCTTGTTAGGCGGTTGGTGGAACTGTACAGAGAGAGAAAGAAGGATTTGCACATGTTGTTTATTGACCTAGAGAAAGCGTATGACAAGGTTCCTAGAGAAGTTCTATGGAGATGCTTGGAGGCAAAAGGTTTGTTGGTCCCTTAAATTATGGTGATTAAGGACATGTATGTTGGGGCAAAGACTCGAGTTAGGACAGTATGAGGCGATTCTGACCATTTTTCGGTGGAAATGGGATTACACCAAGGTTCTGCCCTTAGTCCATTTTTGTTCGCCCTGGTGCTGGACGCGTTAACACACCATATTCAAAGAGAGGTGCCATGGTACATGTTATTTGCAGATGACATAGTTCTATTTGATGAGTCACGAGCCGGTGTTAACGATAGGCTAGAGGTTTGGTGACACACTCTTGAGTCTAAGGGTTTCAATCTGAGTAGGACGAAGACGGAATACCTGGAATGTAAGTTTAGCTCTGAGCCGGAGGAAGTAGACTTGGATGTGAGGCTTGAATCACATGTCATCCCAAGTAGGGGTAGCTCCAAGTACCTTGGGTCGGTTATCCAGGGGGGAGGGGAGATCGATGAGGATGTTGTACATCGTATTGGTGTAGGATGGATGAAGTGGAGGTTAGCATATGGAGTCTTGTGTGATAAGAGAGTGTCATCGTTACTCAAAGGTAAGTTCTATAAAGCGGTTGTTAGACTGGCCATGATGTATGGGGCTGAGTGTTGGCCTGTAAAGAACGCACATATCCAGAAGATGAAAGTAGAGGAAATGAGGATGCTAAGGTGGATGTGCAGGTACACTAGAATGGATATGTGATGATCCAAAATATCATCTTTAAATTAAATAATCATCTCGGTATTTTTAAGACCTTGAAAAGCGGTATTAATCATTCCTCGACTTGCGTGCATAGTCCATATAATTTTCCAGAAGGTGTTTATGTGAAAAATAGATTAAATTGTGAACTAGAGCTTTAAAACTCAATTGAGTTGACTTCGGTCAACATTTTGAGCAAACAAACCCGGATAAAAGTTTTGACCATTTTGGTAGTTCCGTATCGTGAATTGGGACTTGATCATATGCCCGAAAATGAATTTGGAGGTCTCTAGATCAAATTATCGCCATTTAACGGAATCTAGAAATCTAAGGCTAAAGATTTCTTAGGTTTGACCGGAGAGTTGAGTTTTGATATCGGGGTCGGTATCTAGTTTTGAAAATTTTCATAGCTTCGTTATGTCATTTATGACTTGTGTGCAAAATTTGAAGTCAATCGGACTTGATTTGATAGGTTTTTGCATCGAATATAGAAGTTGGACGTTCTTAGTTTCATTATGCTTGAATTGGGGTGTGATTCACGGTTTAACCGTTATTTGATGTGATTTGAGGTTTCGACTAAGTTTGTATGATGTTTTAGGACTGGTTGATGCATTTTTGTCGAGGTCCCGAGTGCCTCGGGTGGCTTTCGGAAGGTTAACGGATATAAAAGGCTGCTGAAATTTTCTGGGCAGTTTCTGCCTTTTTCGCAAGTGTGAATAGTAACCGCACCTGCGTGAACAGTATCCGTGTACAGTACCATATACAGTAAAAATGAACAATATCCGTGTACAATACCCCGTGTACAGTATATATAAACAGTACCCCTATATACAGTACCCATGAACAGTATCGTGAAAAGTACCCATGAACAGTAAAACGCGTGAACAGTAACCACGGAAATTCTGGACAGAATGTTGAGTTCTAAAATTTTTTACCAAATTGGAGCTCGGGGAGAGGCAATTTTTGGGAGATTTTTAGAGAAAACAACGAGGTAAGTGTTCTTAACTTAATTTTGGTTAGATTACCCGAATCTATTACTAGTTTTGACATTTAATTGGTGATTTTAGTTGGGAAAATCTTGAAAACCCTCTTGGTTTAATTTGAAGATTTGAGGGTCGAGTTGATGTCGGATTTTAGTAAAATTGGTATGGTTGGACTCGTGGTTGGATGAGGTTTCATATTCCATAATTTTTGTCGGGTTCCGAGACCTGGGCCCCACGGGCGAATTTTTAGTGCAATTTCGGGTTTTTAATGGAAAATGTAGAATTTCATATGGGATTAATTCCTATAATTTTTATTGACTGAATCAGATTGTTTATGACTAGATTTGAGAATTTCGGGCACGAATTCGCGAGGCAAAGGCTTGTTGGAATTTTGAATTGATTGCAAAGCGAGATAAGTGTTTGGTCTAACCTTAACTTGAGGGATTAGGAGTTGTGTCCTATCTGTTATGTGTTATTTGTTGAGTACGACTTATAAGTATGGTGACGAGTATCTATACGTTGGTGTCAAGCATGCCTGTGAGTCTTATACTTTGATTAATCTGGCTTCGTTTCGTAGTGTATATGCTCTATATGATCATTTCTATTGAGGAATATGACTTGTGGAAGTATTATTGTTTTGATGTTGTTTCCCTTGCCGGGATGTTACTGTTTTGATGTTGTTTCCCTTGCCGGGATTTCATTGTTGTACTATTGTTCCCTTGCCGGGATTTTATTATTGAACATTGTAGAGCATTGGTTCTAGTTAAGAATAGAATTGTTGAACATTATAGAGCATTGGCTCAAGTTGAGAATTGAATTGTTAATTGAACATGGTATAGTGTTGGTTCTTGTTAAGAATAGAATTGTTGAACATTATAGAGCATTGGCTCAAGGTAAGAATTGAATTGTTGAACATTATAGAGCATTGACTCAAATTGTGAATCGAGTTGTGAAGTAAATGTGAAAAAGAGAAGAGGTTGATTATATTATCTCCCTTGCCGGGATGTTGTTGCTTTGATATTCTCTCTCTTGCCGGGACGTTATTATTCATGATATTGTTTTCCTTGCCGGGATTTTATTGTGATATTCTTGATTTTTCCCTTACCCAAATTGCTTTGTGATTGTTGCTTGGGTGATGAAGATTGATAAAGCACGAAGGGTGATGTCGTGCACATTTACATTATTCATATGGTGATGAAAAAGCGATAAGGCACGAAGGGTGATGTCGTACCGCACAATGTACAATCCCGTGCAGTTTAAATTGATTTTATGGTGAGGATGAGAGTAAAAGCACGAAGGGTGATGTCGTACCGCACAATGTACAATCCCGTGCAGTTTAAATTGATTTTATGGTGAGGATGAGAGTAAAAGCACGAAGGGTGATGCCGTGCAGTTTATATTAATTCTTATGGTGAGGACGATAGTAAAAGCGCGAAGGGTGATGACGTGCACTTGTCCTTGATTTTCCTAATTCTTGTTGATAATTGAATTATGGCTTTCCTTATATTCTTTTATTGGTTTCCTATTAATACCTGATATTATTGACTTCCTTGCTTGAATTCCTTTGTGAATGTTGCTGGGGTGAGGAAGAGTGTAAAACACGAAGGATGATGCCGTGCATGGTGAGGAAGAGTGTAAAACACGAAGGATGATGCCGTGCATGGTGAGGAAGAGTGTAAAGCACGAAGGGTGATGCCGTGCATGGTGATGACGAGAGTAAAAGCACGAAGGGTGATGCCGTGCATGGTGATGACGAGAGTAAAAGCACGAAGGGTGATGTCATGCACTTTCTGTTTGTTGTGTTTATTTGTTATTAACATTTCAAGTGTATCAACTGTTTAGATCCCTTTACTGTGTTGTGATCCCTTGTGTTGTAAGCCATATTGTTTTCAATACCTCGCCACATTTATATAAAGCTTTCAATACTTAAATTTTCAATAATTGTACTTTAATTAAAAAGGGTATTTTCTTTATTCAAATGATTTCAAAAAAATAACTTTATCATTTCTTGTTGATTTCCTAATTGGGTGGAAGTTGTACTATACTATATATTAAGTAAATGAGGCTCTTGGAATATTCTTAATTGTATTGGGTTATGGATCCTATGAATTGAGTAACATGAGAATGTTGTTGTGAAATGTGAGACAGAAACATATGGGCACAAGGTGCCGGGAAAAAATATGATGATTTTTATTAATGACAGATTATGATATAGGTACGG